AACACTCTTATATTAGTTTACGGAGGGAGTACTTGTTTAACACTTTTAATACTTATTCAAAATTTTAGAGTGTAGATTCACTCATATGAGAAAGGGAGACAAAGAATAACCACTAAACGAACAGGTAAAGAATACTACCCGCTCAGTTCATAAATATAAGTCTTTCTAGAGATTTCAAATGGACTACCACATACAAATGTATATAGACATATTTTAGAATGTAGATTCACTCATTTTGCTCCGTATGTAGTCACTTATTGAAATATCTAGAAAGACAAATATTTAGGAACAGGGGGAGTACACAATTTGACAGTTGACACTACAAATACTTACATGCTTCTGATAAAAATTGAACAACGCCTTGTCCAAATTAGGGTCATCCATTAACAAGTCCTGAAGAAAGTGAGATGGGAAGAAATAATATTAAGCAGAATGCATGCATGGAGACTGGATAGAAAAGCAAAAAAAACGTGAAACCGAAAAAATACTTGACATTTGGTATGAATCATCTTCAGCAAAATCGTTAGGCACAAAATATTTATTTGCAGAATCAGTACCTTCATCCGAAGACAAATCAGGAATGCACTTCTCCCTGACCTTTCAAAGTATATTCATATCTGTTACGAAAAACCCCTATATATGCTACAACATGCATTGAACAAAAAAGAGTCCTGAGAAATAGTACAAAAACTAAAGAGGAGGTATAAGAGTATACAATCAAATGGTTTATTAGATTACACATACGGACAAAAGAAATCAAATTTCGGCACAAATAGTAAGACATATGAAGATGCAAAGTAAGAGGGCTGAAAATGAAGCCCCAACCGTTCAACTACATGCGCACAAACTCAAATAATGTAAACAAACGTGATAATTACATTACACAAACACACAAATTACATGAAGCGATTGATCAATTTACAGTGTGATGGGCCCGTGCAGCAACTAATGAGAAGGATGAAGAGCATACAATCAAATGGTTCTATTAGATTACACTTGGGGGCAAAAAGGAAATTACATCGGCCCGCAGACAATAAGAAGGACGAAGATACACAGTAAGAAATCTGACAAAACCCCCCAACACTTCAGCTGCGTGTGGGTAAAACCTCAAATAATGTTGAGTAACTTGATAATTACGGTACACAAACACACAAATTACATGAGGCAGTTGAATCAATTTGCTGCACAATAGGGTGGTGAGTACAACAACTATAAAAAGATCAGAAAAGGAAAGGTACGACTGTAAAATTAACTGAATCTGAACTTGAGCAACACTGTTGAAACCAAGCTACACAAAAGAAAACTGAGCAAGAATAAGATACAATGTATATTGACCAACTGGTGGAAAACTGAGCAAGAATAAGATACAAAAGAAAGGCCATTTACAAGACATGATCAAACCTACAGATTCAGCTAGGCTTAACCTACAGATTCAACTACACAAACCCTGTAACGCCAACTAACCATCTAGCAACGGAAGCATTCAGCATTGCAAACCACAAAACCATATGTGCCATGACAGAAAGCAAAAGCTAGTTATCTCTGAACTACTTGCAGAGCAACAACCACATCAAAGTTCATAAGATCAATGTAAAGAAAAGAGAAAACGAGTAACTAAAAGAGCAAACTGAAAAATTGGTATACCCTAACATACAAGCATGCACCAAACAAATTACATTGACGTAGATAGTAAAAATAGTACACAGCTCACTGTAAAAATAGTACATCAACTCACTGTAAAAATAAAAATAGGCAGGCTAGAAAATTGGACAGGCAGCAAAAACCAACAATGTAGACCACTCCATAGTTACAATTCACAGGCTCACATTCTTTCACTATAAAAACATGGGCAGAAAATGAATCAGTACATGAACATCACTATTAAACAAATAGCTGCACTGATGATAAGCATTACTACTACTACTACTGGAGTATAAGTTGGGCATAAGATACATAGTACGTTAATCATTTGACGCACCCCTGCTACTATCTCTGGACTACAAAAACTAGCAATACATGAAACGAATCTAACAAAAAAAACCTCTAGCAACACAGCAAAAGGATTGAAATTTGATACCTGCAGAAAATAACCAATCAGCTCGTGCAGAATTAGTGCCACAAAAAACTGGTCGACCATCTAAGTACATACGCAAGCAACACTAGAGCTAAAAGCCATATGAGCCATGGCAGAAAATGCAGAGCAAAAACCACTACTATTCACTACAGGGGATCCAACAAATCAAGGCTTAAATAATCTAGAACAGACCACTAAGGGAAGCAATTGCAGGGACAACAAAACAACTATAATCACTTCCTCAAAATCCTAATCAAATACTGAACAGTCTGAACCACATCCACAAATCAAATGTACAGTGCCAACCACATCCACAAATCAAATGTTCAGGGGCAGCAATTTCACAGTGCCAACCGCATCCACAAATCAAATGTACTGAACATTCTGAATTAAGGCAAAATTCCTAGTGTAACTTGGGCCAGGGCGAGGGGGGCTACTGGAGCTCCACTGTGAAGAAGTGGGACACGGCAGCGGCAGGAAGGCTGCACTCCATGGACAGGGTGCCCTGCTCCATGTCAACACCCAGTAACATCAGGGTACGATCGGTGACGCCAGAGATGAGGTAGACGATGTGCGCCTCCCTGTGCAGGAAGGCAATGCGACATGGCAGCCTGAGGGGAATGCTGCAGGCTATCTCCTGCAAGCGAACCTGGGCATACTGCTCCCAATGCTGCTGATCGTGCTCTGTGGCGGTGAGCATCCAGGTGCGGAGCCTTCCCTCCGCGTCGATGTCCGAGAGCATCACCAGATCCTGGCTGACGCCAACATAGCGGAGGTACTGGCCATCATCTGGGAAAGGGATGAAATCGATACCCGTGGGTACGATGAAGGTAGGGGACACGCGGAGCCTGATGAGACCTGACGAACAGTCGATGAAGTACATGGAATCGGCGTGAGTGATGGAGCCGTCGCCGACCCAGGGGTGCGCCGCCCCAGCTGGGTAGCCCGCGTGCACGAGGCGGTGGCGCGTGGTCTCCGGCGACACTGAGAAGCACATCAGCCTCAGGGTGCCATCCCCCTGCTGCATACCGGCCAGCAGAATGTCTGACTCACGCCGCATCAGGCCAACGCTGCCGAGCGGGCGCTCCAAGAAGGTCGGTGGGAGGGCCATGGCTCTGCTGCAGGAGGTGTCCAAGGCAACGTACACTGCGGGGTGCTCGGGGTGGGTGCCACGTAGCAGTAGCGCGTCCCCGTCCACTGCCTGCACCTTGTACTCGTACACGGCACCGGCGGCGTGGGAGAGGAACGCCGCAGTGGGACGCACGCAGAGAATGGAGGGGCGCGGCGCGGCGCGGCAGAGGAAGCCGAACTCGACGGCATGCCCGGAGAAGTATGAAGCGTCGGAAACCTCAGCGAGGCCGTTGACCACCATCCACCCATGGCCAACTGCCTGCTCCAGTCCCTCGCTGCAAGCACAGGCACAAATTGCATTCCCGAGATCATTAGCACCACGCCCTGCTTCACGGAATCACCCAACCGAATCAACCCGAGAGTCAAGAGTACTCACGAGGCAACTCGCGCCGCGGTCCTCTGCTCGGCGGCCGCCGCCTGCTGGTCGTGCTGCTGCTGGTCCAGGAGGTGTCGAAGCTGCTGCGGCTGCACCGGAGTACTCCACTGCTTGATCTGCTGGTAGCGCTTGTAGAGGTTCCCGGGCGTCTGGTGATCAATGGCCCGTGAGGCCACGCGGTAGATGGCTCTCCCCGCACGGATCGCCCACGGCGTCGACATGGCGGCGGGGCGCGAGAAGGGGAGGAAGGTTCTAGAGGGGGAGGGGGAGGGGGGA